TTTTTTTTTTTTTGTATCTCTGTCGATCTGTTATGGGTGAGGCATGTCAGAAGAGTACTATGAGCGAGATGTAGGCTAGGTTCCGCAAGTTTCGTCTTTCACAAAAATGCAATCTTGAAATAAAAAATTGCGAAATAGAGTAGAGATGAGATTTTCAGAAAAGAACTAAATCCAGTTTCTGAGAATATGGCAACCTCCTAATATGCCTAACGAAATGCTGGTAGGCTTCGCAAGATTTCGGTTTTCAAAAAAAATTGCGAGATAGAATGGAGATTCGATTTTCAGAAAAGAATAAATGCGGTTTCCGAGAATATGACCACTTCTATCGTTATCCTAACAAGTTGACCCGCCGCGGTGACGCCGCGGCAAGGAGAGGCGGTGTGGCGAGGGTATGTTGTGCAAAGGGAACAGGGGCAAAGTGTAGAGGGAGGGAGAGATGTATGGAGACATTAAGACTGCATGGCCAAAGCACATTGTGAAATGTAGAATGTATCAGCAGTTGCAACACGACAGGTCAAAAGGTTACACATATCATTTAGTTTGTGCACTCTGTGGCCTCTGCTCTTCCAAAATGTACACTTCCATTTGCGGTCTCCCTTCTTTTGCACTTGGATGCCACGTCAGGCCATTTCTTTTTTCCTTTTTTTGGTCTGCAAGGTATTTGAATGCCTGTTTTCGTGGCATTTTGTGGAAGATTACTTGGCATGTCGTCAGCCCCACAGCATTCACGTTTTTTATTTTTATTTATTTTTTTAATGATTTTTTTTAAAGCTTTTTTATATTTCCTCTCACTTCTTTGGCAATGGTTCGTAGGTAAACCCAACCAGCGGTCTTTCACGGTATCTCATCTTTTCGTGGCCAAGTATTATGTCGTATGTGGGTACGTGGCCCATGGCGTGATGTGTGTGGCGATGCGACTAAGGATGACGTGTGTGTGCTGACGCGTTTGGCCACATCACTGATGATGACGTGCGGGTGTCCACGTGGCCAAGGAGGACGTGTATGGCCAAATGATCATCTGTGTGTGACCACGTGATCAAGGATGATCTGTTTGTGGCCACGTGGGCAGGGACGATATAAGGGAGTGGAGGGAGGGAGAGAGAGTCCGCGGGCTTTTTATGGTTAAGTAGATTCTGCAGACTGTCGTTGAGGTTAGTCTCGTAATAAATAAGTTGGCAATCAGGAAAAAAAAAAAAAAAGTTGGTAAAAGTCCAAAGAAACGTTCGGTCGCGGCCACTTACATTTTGTACTCTAATATTCATGTGACGATATATATGTAGAGCTCTTCTCCCCCCCGTGCTCTTCTGCTTTTCGGGGAAAAAAAAAGAAATGCAGATGTTCGATATGTTCTTTTTGAGGGGAAGAAGGGGAAGCAAGGGAAGGAGTACAGAAGCACGTGTTGTATATCATCGCAGTCGAACACACGTGTTTTTTTTGTTTTTTGGGTAGCAATCGTGGCCAAGTATTATGTTGTATGTAGGCACGTGGCCCCTGGCGTCATGTGTGTGCGGACGCGACCAAGGAGGATTTTTTTTTTTTTCCCCCTTTTTTAACGTTTTGTGCTTCACAATAGTTCAGGAGTCTTTCTATTTCTCTCTTTCTCTCTTCATCTCTCTCTTCTCTTTCGCCTTGGTAGCAATCTAACTCTCCCTCGATCTCTCTCTCTCTTTCTCTCTCTCTCTCTCTCTCTCTCTCTCTCTCTCTCTCTCTCTCTCTCTCTCTTTCTCTTTCTGTCTGTCTTTTTTTTTTTTTTTTTGGCCTCTGCTGTTCCGAAATGTACATTTCCATTTGCGGCCTCCCTTCTTTTGCGCTTGGATGCCACGTCAGGCCATTTCTTTTTTTCTTTTTTTGGTCTGCACGGTATTTGCATGCCTGTTTTTGTGGCATTTTGATCATCTTCGC